TTTTATTAATTTGAAATATTTATATGTATGTATCTCTAATATCAAGATATGTACAGACTTCTGTGTAGATACACAAATATATCATAAGTGTTTCTGGAGTATTTAACCAATTTAATTCATAAAACCTTTTACTTAGTTACTAAGTGTTATTGTCAGTTTTATTCTAAATGCTTACTATTTTCTTAAGGGTTCTTGTACTACAATCAATCAGTGTTCTTATAATGCGTAGACTTTAGACTTTTATGACTAGCATCATTATTTATTTTTTTGTCTACAATTTCAATATAGGTATGTATATTAGTACGTATTTTTTTGTATCAAAAACTTTTTATTTTATAATAAATAAATAATTTACTAATAGAAGTCAATGACAATTATTATCTTTTTTATTGTCTTTGTATAAGTTGACTCTGTACATATACAAATATTTTTTAATACATTCTTTTTTTATAATTTATACTTAACAGATTTAAGCTCATAAAATGTTTTGCAGTTTAAAAAAAAAGTTACTTGAATTAATGACTAATAAAACTTAAACAATAAAAATCTGCAATACACTTTTAATTTATATAAAAATATTTTGCGCTTGTGTTAGGTGCTTATAATTATAGAAAGAATTGACAAAATCATTAAATAAACAACAAATCAAATTTTAAATATCTACAAATAAAAATAAGAAAAATAAAAAACTTATAAAAATATTTTCAACAGTTGAAATGCAACGTTGTATAATAATAACAACAACAGTAGCAACTAAACAAGGCAAAGTAAAAAGTGAAAACTTAAAATATTTGTTAAATTTTTATTTTATCTGCTTTTTGTTTTAAAATAATAACAAAAACACTAAATTAACGCCAAATAAATAAAATATGTGCAAACATATGCACACTCACACAGCCATTAAACACAATAAACTCGTACATGTTTGCATATATGGGACGCCATACTGTGACGCCGACAACTTGGCAGCAATGATGATCACCACAATAAAACGGTATTACCGTATACAAAAACAACAAATGTTGAAAAATAGAATCAAATTAGGATATGCTTAAAAAACACATATGCACATACACATGTATGTGTATTCGTGTGCAAAGAATTACATATTTATTCTCACGTACGACTACATATTTTTTGCGGATATATTTGCTATATTTGCTTTGCAGGACTATTTTTGTTTTAATTCGTTGTCCCATAAAAGTATGACCACTCAAGCTATGATACATATACAAATAAAAGCTGGCAAATCTTCTTTGACAGTGACATATGTCACTGCTTGTCATTTTTCTTATATGTATGTGTGTACTTTTTCTTGTTTTCGGTTCGTTCCTTCGGAGGAACGTCTTTCAATTCTAGCATATTATATAAAAAAGGCTAAATCACTTTATAAGATTTTTATTACGAGTACTAAAGGAGTAGAAATCGCAAAGAAAACAGTCCAAGCAGTTCAATCTAAAATTTGAAGAGTGGATCCAAACTTGAAATACCGTAGAACAATATTATTTTAGACAAATGGAATTAACTACTCTGTAATTGATCAGGGAATTTTTGTTTTGGTGAGTAAGAAGGTGGAAGCTTTATGTATTGTCAAATCGACCATTGTATGGTGTTCTCGACTCCTATTATGTACTATACGGACTAAAACACACCATTTTCTTCTCACAATACCTCACGGAACCGCTTTTAAGGAGGATTCATCATTCGTTGGCTATCCCTGCCGTATGTTTTTTGTAAAACCTGTGTCCAAGCCCCCCTTTTTAGTTTCGATTTGAAAGGTTTACAGATTACTTTTTGCTTTAGTTTGTCTCCAGGTCTTTTTTCTTTTTCCGGAGCACGTTTTTGATAAATTGTGTGATTTTGTTCCAATAACCTCCTCGTGCCTTCATTTTTCCAATAATTTTCTCGACAGTGGTCACCTATATTCTTGTTTAGTATCGTTTTACTCTATCCCATTTTTTGCAGTTGAAAATAAAAAAAGAAAATATCCATGACCAGATAGGAACTGTGTGCTAAAAAATTAATCTTGCCAAAGCTCCTTTCTCCACTAATTTTTCAAGCATATTATTATTTTCATATTGAGTATATGTTTCAATTGTTATCTTCAAATTCAATGACCTTTACAATACTGAGTACTTGACAGTACTTGACAGTTTTATATTTTATATACCATCGACCAAGTGTCACAGCCTCTTCTGGGTATATTAAATATGTAATCACTGAGTATGTTAACTTGCAAAGCACGTGTTTGGTGTTTAATTGCGAAATGTTTGTTTTTCTAGTTTGTACAGAAGAAGTCATAAAATTTATGCTAAGTGCACGCAAAGTACAAAAATGGAAAAACATCCAAAATAGCCAAGAAAACAATTTTCCAGATACGTCTTCACTGCAGAAACTACTAAACCGCAAATGTGTTCAAAGGCTTCCTTAACCAATGATTCTAATATTTATTTATTTATTTTCTTATTTGTTTATTTATGTTTTCTATTTTCATTACAGAAGACTGCAGCGCACTCATTTGAGGAGTGAGTTTGAGTTTAAGTTTGTCAACATGTTATGTGATGAATGCGAAGTTATAGATACGGATACATGATGATTTATAAGAACAAACTTGTCATACGATGCCAAATCATAGAAATACACGAGTATTTAGGAGTAATGTACGCATTGTACTGGAATTACGAGTTCAACTCTTTTGCTTGGTTGGCCCAAATCTGGCGAATACACAAAAAAAAGAATTAAAACCAAATAAGTCTCATCATTCAGGCTAAGTATGGTGATGACGTGCGTTATAGAATCTTGAATGTAACCGTTACTAGCTTACAAATAGACATCAGCCAGACGGACAAACAAAATACATAAAACTTTTTATATACAAAATTTATGCACATAAAAAGCAAAAATAACTGAAATTGTTTGATTTTCTGATTTTCTATTGAAAAACCTTTTAAAACCGAAATGGAAGAGAGGACTTGGTAAATAAAACCAAACCCAGTTTTGGTGCGCTTTATCTGTGCGTCTACTTTTGTTCCTAAGTTGCTTTATTTTTTGATTGCATTCTTTGCTTTAACTACTGTCGTACGCTATCTGAATTGTAATTGGATGCCTTGCGAGGAGTGGTTATGTTGGTATATGAAGTAGCGTATACCAATATGATCGTGGTTGCCATGGAAATATCCTACTTAAGTACAATGCATCGAGTTATGCTTAAACTGAAATTGTTGGATTGATGACAACATCTTCATAGGAAAGTATGACTATTTCAATGAGTTCAATATGAAATGGTTATTGACCTACTGAATATAGTAAGCGCTTAATATTATGAGATTTCTGTTATACAATTATAACAAAATATCTCTTTTTTGTTGTATTTTAGTGTTCGAAAAGAAAATTTTAATACATTATTTATTATATAATTAAAGTTTATGTTAATTTATAAATATATATTGCTGTATATATTGCCTATGTATGTAAAATTGATTTGTTTGATATCTTTCACATGAAAAATTGTATATAATATTAAAATAAAAAACATTAAAAACTAATTAATTAAATTTAATTAATTAATAAACCCATAACTTAAGTATTTTAGTTAAACTGAGAATAATAATGTATGTTATTATTAGTTATCTAGAGGATTTGTCAGAAGATAACTACACTTTAATTCTAATATATAAAATTCCTTAAAACACAAGACGTACAATAAAATTAA